AGTTCAGGCTCTGATGGCGCACCTCATATGATGGATCAAAGTTTGGCGAAACGAGGGAGGATGTCTCGTCAACTGCGTTAAAATAAACACTATTAAAGCCAAACGGCTGCGGAGCAATGGAAATTTTCCGTCGTATTTCGATGATAACAACCAACCAATCCCTTAATCCTGAACTTTTATACGAAACGAAAGTCTCTTCAACACTGTTATCTTAATACATCAATCGAAACCCAGTTACTTTTCGTATCTATAATAGTATTTTACTTCAATACCAGGGCGGCAATTTTCCTACTATCCTACTAATTTATAACTATATACCAGTACGCATCCCATGCCATATCATATGCGAATTCAATAGTCTTGTTTGGTAACGCTAGAGTGTTTGGTGGAATTATTAATTTTACTTCTTTCGCATACTGAGAATAGAGTTAGAATACCATAGAAACTCGATTATTTTGAGACAATACAAATTTCATCAGCAAACAGTATTTTTCTTGAAAAGCACCTTCTTTGCATATATTTCATTAAAACTAGTCTTTTCCCTCATTGTTATCGGAAGTATTTAAACTATTCAAGTTTTTACGGTGCACAAACATTTAATTTATTTCTAATCTATATATAATCTATCAGTGAGCGATACATTTTCAAACATCTACCTATGATAATCATAGATTTTTGCTTTTTATTCTTCGGAACAGAGAAGAATTATAAAGAAAATAAGGCACGAGAGCGACAGTTGATTCAGTGGGAAAAACTCAGAGCACAAGATTATCAAAGGTACACGGTTGAAGGCCACGAACGCAAAAAAACCAATGGAATGGTCGTTATCCGACAGCGTTCTCCTGCAATAAGCAACACAAACATAAATGGAAAAATTGAATTTGCACAACTTGCCTCGAACTTGTCAGAAAGGTTTAAGGAACAGTTAAAAGAAGTTTTGGCTCAGACGAGTCAAATTGAAGGGTTAGAATTGAAGTTAAATGAAATAATAATGCTTCTGAATCATCAACGTGAGGAGCTAAAGCTTCATTCTTTAGCGCAGGTTCGTACCAACTTTTATGGGAATATATAATCTCTAAAAAGTCAGCTTAAATTGAGAATAACCCTTCTACTTCTTTCAGGGTTCTGCTTTAAATAAAGGTAAGTTTACGTTAATTAAAATTAATTAGAGAAGTTAATACATGCTTATGTAACTAGCAACTAATGGGTGTTATTATTTGGTCTAAAAAATTCCTAAAACGCTGTTTATCACCCCTAAATAGGTTCTTTTATGTTTCATTATTTCAAACGGCTGTAAAATATACATGGACTTGGCAGAAATGTCTATCTAGATAAGACAAACAATTCGTTTGCGAAAAATCAGATTCCTTAAAATAGTGTAATTATAGAAAAAGCGTGTTTAATTGTATTCGGTGCTTATCCTGGATTAATAGATGCCTTGAATGGTTAAATTTATAAAGACTGAAATCTGAAATAAGGTCAATCGAATAAAATTAAACCGCCCAAAATATGCAGGATATTATTGCATTATTCTTATTGAACTCTTCCAGCTTTCGATTTCATACTAGATTTCCAATAAATTAGGAAAAATATTTAGCAAGAAGGCACTTTGAAATATATTTAAATTACTCACTTTATTCTCTAAAATTGATTTTGGCAGAAATCTTGCCTACGAAATAGAGTTTAGTATTGTATATGTTTCGTAACCTATGAAACTAAGCCATTATTCTTGATAATTAGTTTTAAAGACTATCAGTAGTTCTTGAAAAAGAAATTAGTCACCATAGGCCGCCTGAGGTACTTTAAGTAATAAAAGCTGTGTTCTCCCACAATCATATGGGTGGGCCACACAATGCTGTTGAATTTCACATAACCTTGCCTCAATAAGCCTGTTGCATCTCTAATGGATTCCTGTTTCATCTCTAACGGATTGCTGTTTCAATATCAACTGGGTTACACCAGCAGGCCCAGTGGGATTAGATACCGGATCTGAATATCGAGGTATCGTTACGACTCTACTACATAATCACAGGTGACAGTAGGTCCCATGATAGTGACATTCCACGCAAGCTATACCTCCCTTCAGCTAGGCATCATTGCTGATTAAACAAACATGTTTTTTTCGTATATAAGCAGAGATTTTTCACCCTTGTAATCAACAATGTTAATTATTTCCGAAAGAGGTAGTCTGTGGTATAACATAAGTATCATTCCTTAGTCTCTTAAGCAGCCTAGAGTTACTTAGTTCTTATTCAAGAATAACTTATATTCTCGAAAACTTTTTTTCCTGAATTCTTTAACTAAAAATGACTCAGGACCGCCGACTGTCTACGGAATATCTAAGACATTAAAGAAGGGATAATCACTAAGGTTAATAGATAACAACAAGCATGAGGCGACACACAAATTAGCAAAATGAATATTCTTAAAGGCGAAGATAAGGTACTACAGACTCTAGAACACTGTGAAGAAAAAATGAATTTTATCAAAGGTTTCAAAACATTGAACTCGAAGGGACGGAACAGTTGGTAAGTTTTGATATATGATCCATGTACACAAACATTGCCCTGCTGGAGATCTTAAGACGAGAGAGGATGTCCTGGAGTCAGAGCTCATACGAAAGGAGCCATTAGAATGACTAATCAATTTGACAGTAAGGACGGCAGTATCTATGGGCAAATATTTGGACTACAGATGGAATCTCCATCCACCCCATTTTTGGGAAATGTAGGCAAGGGCAATTTAGAAAGGGAATTCGAGGAGGCACCGCTGAAACCAAGATTGCTTATGCGATACCTGGATGAATAGTTTGCACTTCGTTCGCATGTTAAGTACAATTTAGGTGAATTCCCCAACTTTATGACCCAACTTGACAAAAAAATACACTTCAAAACGAATGTGGAGGAAATGAGTGACTACCTTTCCTGGATGTTGAGGTAATTTGCTCCAACGTGGCACTCAAGATGAGACTATTCAGAAAGAAACAATATGCAGGAATGAGCCTTAACTTCCAGCCTCATCACAACTACAGACTAAAGATCAGTATACTGAAGAGTTTGATCAACAGAAGCTTAAGACTAACGAATATCGAGGTCAAGGACGAAGAGTTTAGCAAACTGACTCGGATTCTCCTTAGTAATGGATACACTGAAGAAGATATAGAGATAAATATATGAGCCATATTGAGCAGATTTCAACTTAGAATTTATGAAAATAACACCAAGGATCGGAAAGACGACCAAAAGTAGGTGTGCATGCCCTCATGTGAACTAAGTCAAAATTTTCTACAGCTTAGGAGAAAATAGAATATCAAGGTGATAAGAAAGAAAAGACAGCACTCTTCACCAGCCTGCCAACGCAGCATGAGAAGGTTGACAAACTGGATTGCTCAGGAGTTAATCGCAATTAATGCGCCAACTGTGAGAATAGGGATATTGGTGAAACGGGAAGAAAAATCAGCCTACTAATCAGGTAACACCAAAGACTCTACCGAAACATGGATATAGACAAATCGGAAAATGCGGAACACATTGCACGAACGGGACACAAAATCGACTAGAATTCGATAGTGAGACCGGCTACATTTCGTGAAAATCCGAGCAAACTCAGGATTCAAGAGGCCATCGACATCCTCACTGAAATAAATTCAATGAGCAAAAGATTTGAAGAAGGCAGAATCCGCGAAAACTTTCCATACTGCCTAAGCAAACTCGGAGAAGAGCAGGCAACGATAAGATCAACAAAAGGAAGACGTCTAGATCAAGAAAAAAATGTGAACCTGAAGAAGATTAATCGCAACGCTACAGATTACCAATCAGAAATTAAGAGAAGACGTCTACCGTGAGCCTAGTCAAGGCAAACAGAAGACAACATTGGGAGGTTGAAACACAAGAGACTAGGGCATATGAAGTCATAGATTTGGCATTATGGATAGGAGCACGATAGATGTGGTGGAGGCTAAAGCTAGTTGGCTAATAGTAGACGGGTTTGATCACATTCGTGTTCCGCGGATTGATGGCTTGATGATGAGTGTCACCCGGGGCACATGTAGAAAGGGAGCTAGACTCTAAGTTAGTCTCCCATCCAACTTGAGAGTCCAGACTTAGGGGGTCTGCTCAGTGAGACCAGAGTATACGAGCTACCAAAGCTTTGAAGCAAAGTATGGGAAATAGCGACTCGAGTAGCATAAATAGGATGGCAGTGGTCAGATGAAGTCCCTGAACCGGAAAGATAAGAGATGGGTGAAACGGCACAAGAGGCCCACTCTGACACGACCTGAGGGAAGAAGATTTCGGACTAATAGGGCGGGTTAAGAGCAACATTTCCAGCACGAATGGAGGGTGTGTGAATAAGTGTCATAGCATCCGCCACCAAAACACATTTATATAAGCAAATAGGAAATTGTGATGGTGAAAGGGCGATACGAAAATATAGGACACGATAGATACTACAACTGTTTATCAGACAATTGACTTTACTGCTATTCGACGAGTTGTAGTTTAGTGCTATGTGGGAACGTACCAAGTCCATGGCTCGACTCCGTAAAGTATTATGGACATTATGGACTGCGTACAACGTGCCTTCCTTTAGGTCGTCCTGCCGATATGACCAAGTTGCGAAAACAAGGTCAAGCAGCTTCTATGCAGCAAAAGGAGACCACGATCATACTAAAGGCCACACCATCTTGACCTTCATACATTCGATTAAACTTCATAATTCTTTGTATAATCTAGGAAAAATTATCTTATTCTTAACTAACATTAAAATATAACAATGCGCATTTTTACTTAGTCGTTAACTTTCGTGTATAACAACACGAAACAGCAAACATTTAAAAACCTTTGAATTTAAGTGTGCTTATGAAATTTTTAATTTGCCTAAAATGCTCAAACTTAAATCCTGTCATGAGATGTTTTGGACAATATTTATTCGTTTTATATCTTAATCAAGTGTCGATCATTGAGCGAGGCTCATTTCATCGTAACAGCAAGCTAAGGAGAATGCAAAGGCATGAACCTTTTGGTCTGGCTCGAATGGGTGAACCCGAAAAAGAAGAGATTACCTACAGAGCCCCAACAAATGAGGTGCGCCTCATTTCTTTCCAATTCTCAGGCCACCAGATTGCCTTTTTTGTGCCCCCTACGGGGGACAGAACACCACATGTGCTGCCAAAGCCATTGTCCTGGTCGGTAAGTTGTCGTTATTTAATTGGCTTTTCACGTTTTCCTCTCTTATTCTTGCATAATAAAGCCTATAAACCGCGAATATACAAAATTACATATGGTATGGAAGGTAAGTTATGAATAATAAAATATTTGTCTATACTTTATTCAATTATATACAATGGCATTCTTGGAACTGGCATTAAAACAAATCGGGGAAAGTTTCTTCTTGTGCATCGGATTATAACGTCTGGCTTTCAATCTCTCACAGCCAGGCTGTTACTGTTTTCCTTTGGATAGTATGAGTCGTACAAGAAATTGGTACGTGAAATGTGAATCTCCTATCTGCGTAAATAAGATCATTAGTTTAATGTTAATTTGCTTCAACAGTCGATATTGACTGTACTGCTAATCATAATTGTTTTCTTAATAACCCTATCCGGAATTAAGTCGAGCTCGAGCAGGTCTTAGCTAGAAAAATGTTCCCATATTGCCAAGGCCTCGTTCTACTGTCTGATATGACAACAAAGACATGCAAGCGGCACATATTCCACTTAATCTATCAATATACTGAATAGAGTAGAAAGGACATTCGATTTAACAACCCAACATGGCATGAATCTCTCTCTAACTTCTTGCAAACAAAATGAATTAAGAAATTTTCACAATAATGCCGATAACACAAGCCAAGAACTAAAGCTATCTTTTTCAGAAAAGCTCTTTTAAGATGAGCAACATACAATCGCCTTCTAGTTTTATATACTTAATATTTATAGTGAATTACAACATATCCTTCTCTGACCGGTTTAATGTACAATAAATTTCCTCATTAATTAATATTTAATAATACCTAGGCTTACTGAGGTAGGTACACTCGTAAGACGGATCACAACTAAGTCAGCTAATTCTGTACAAGCTGCCCCAGGTGCATAGGAGTAGGCCATACCAGATCAATAATTCGCATACATAGTTTGCAAATATGGCTCATTCACCCCTTACAAATATGGCATGTTTGCTAACAAGATATCGACTATAATATGATAATCATCCGGCATCTAAAATCAGCTTAAATAGTAAGTAGTAAATAAACTTTATTAAGAACTCAAGATAGGTCAATAAACTCGAAAAAAATTGACCAACTTGCCAAATGAATATTTCACTTTTCTATCTCCATGCAATTCTCAGAAGGTTCTAGCGCTAGGGGTGAAAGGAAAAAAGATTGATAGGCAACCTACCGAGATCTCTTCCGTTTATAAAGGCTCGTGTCTAAAAAGGTATTATCAAAGAAAAATAGGAGAAACGTTTTTAACTATACGTTTTTGTTGACGAACAATAAAAGGGATTTCTCGCTTCAGACCTATTTTGGTGCATTTCCATAATTTAAGGGACATATACAATGACGAATACTCCATTAGCATCACTCTGGCTAGTAGTAGTGATTCATGCAAGTGGTTACAGTATAATTAGTGTTACTTATGATTTGGCCCAGTTAATGTACATATCTGAAAAACGCTTTTGAGATTCCGCCTCATTTTACAGAATAAAATTCGCAAAGAAAATCCCTCAAATTATATTTGGTTCAATAATTTTCACCTTTCTGAAAAGTCTCACATAGCCCTTTGATTGAGTCGAGTTAGAGCGGTTAGTAATTTCTTACCTGTGGAGTTTACGCATATGAAATGACGTTTGGGCATTATCCACCATTACTGATAGCATTAATAATAGGAATATTTGACACATCCGTATTTTTTTTAAGGAAAAGTGCAATTGTCTTATTGAAAGTGTTTGAAACGATGCCCTTGGTATTCTTCAATTGTCATTGAAGGTTTGTTTAGCACGGTGAAATTTCGATTTCCAGGCTTACATGTCCTAAATCTTGCTTTCTGCTCGGAATTACATCTCTATAAGAGGGTTAATACACAATTACGTCATAACTTCGTGGATATGATCAGGTTTTTTCAAGAAAATTATTTATAATTCCTTTTGCTTTAAATAAACTTTAAATTCTATACCTTATTTTTCGATATTAATTCTTAGCAGAAGCTCGCATAGCAGTTACAGTATTTTCTCTAACATCCCTTTTATAATAATATGTACTTGAAACTTGAGTTATAGCGAATTACGTGCTATTCATGTGCATAATAAATACTTTTAAAGTTTTGCTATGAATTCGTTTCAACACTATGACCACTTTTTTAATAGTAACTTACTCATCCTAGTTCGCTTACAGTGAATTAAAAATTAATATTCGTATAAGAGTAGGGTTTCATTAAAAATTAAAAATTAAATTTTCCCACAATGGCATTACATTTTACTCAGTCTCGCATACCAGAAGCTTATCCCATCCATGATGGACTGCATGCATACCTGAGCTAGGATTCAATAGCACCTCTAGTAGGATTCGATATCAGGCGAAGTCTATACCTCCACTTCACGGCCACGGGTGCCAGTGAGTCTCAAAACCTAATTACATTGAAAATAAGTGACGTGTATTTGCTTAATCAACAATCCAACTATAACATGTTGGTTGGAAAAGGCCTGGCTTGCCTTGATTATTGCATCTGACCTGTGACTCACTGGTACCCCTGACCATGTACTGGAGTGGAGGGGTTGTATGGCCACAAAACGACCCGCTGGATGAGCTGATGAGACACAGGCAAGTTTAAAACTTCAGTCCATCCTAGATTAGATAACCTTCTGAGAGTCAAGGCCAAGTAAAATTCACTGGATTCGTGTAGACCATTCGTCTAATTGCGCGACAAATTCAACTACCACTTAAAGTCAAATAACTTAAGCGATATAGTGTCACTAAGTTCTTAATTAAAACTCACTAATAAAACCATTTTGTCCTAGAGGCTTCGCAAAGTCTCGTTTATGCCTATTTGGGCTTATAATCATGTTTTGGTGAGGTCAGTATTTTAAAGACAAATATAACTAATAGCATCATCTTGATATGTCCAGTTAGTTTATCAAAGTAAATCGAATTTTTTAATGAGGGACAGTTTTGATCACTAAGAATATTTTTAAAATTAGTAAAATATCCTTGCATAGAGAGCCCTCTCAATGTTATTTGACTGCTCAGGAATCATAAAAATAATTTATATTCATTCTTTGAGGTGACTACAAAATAAGCCTAAGTTAGATTATCTTATCATAATCTTGCTAAGTGATTCAGACACTAAAGCAGGTGCATTTTGAACCGGAACAGTTTCGCAAGGTGAACTTTTTAAATCACAAGCTTAGTTGTTATAGTTAATAACTTACTATGTTTGTGAGAAAATTTCCATTTTATGCATTCGTTGTGGCTTACAGCTTTTATTTCGGGTCAACTTACATTAGTGCTATTGATGTTATCGCCATTTCCATTGTTGGCTTGATTTAAGAACAATTGGTCTGGCAAAATAAATCTTTCATAAATAGAGTATTAGCAAGATGATCGAGAAATCTGTTAGATTATAGCTTCTTTGCCTAGGCTTGTAAAAATTTAGATTTTTACCATACATTTTACAAATTACAATATTTATTTGAATTCTGATCATCGATGTGTAACGGCGAAGGTCAAAATGACCACAACCTTTTACTCCAGCTTTTCATAGTGAATGCATGACTTTATAGGCAAGTTGAGGTTACTGAAATTCATATAGCTGGCCTGCATTTTCAATCCTATTCAATGCCCATACCAACTGTATTGGTGAATATGTGCTTCTATAAGCCTTGAAGTAAACTATGTTATATTTAATATATAACAGGGATTTATGCATAGATCATTTAAAATATTTTTAATCATCACTGTTTAGGAAAATTCCTCTTTAATTATTATTTTACTTTTTAGATGCTATTCTAGGCTTGGGTTTATTATTTAGCAACTAACTAATTGTTTAATCATTAATAAGTTCAAATTCTAGGTATTTTCTTGCACAAATATATGTACAAAGATGTATATAACTTTATTTATTTATTTATATATAATCTCACCACTACTCTATTTATTTATACCATTTTTACCCCTCGCTCTGCCTTAGCAAGCAATAGAAAGTTATCTTGGCATGAACTGGTCACCACCCTACCCAGCCCTGGTCGGATGGACCGAGGATGCAAATGCAATAAGTGCGATCATGTCGCGTGCCTGGAATCCCATGGGCGAATGCTGGGAAGCTAATGAGAACTATCCAACTCCCGATCCAATCACAGGCGCACCGCGCAACCCCGCTGGCCGCACTGGAACCCAGGGTAGAGGTCATTTGCCGCTATGGGGCGCCAATCCGGCAGTCATTCTTGTAATCACAACTTGGTCTCGCAGACCGGATGGTCAAATTGTGGAGCAAAATGGCTGCAAATTGCTTGAATGCGTAATGCAATCTACGGGGAACAGTCCGCGCCAATTGCCTTGGGTACAGAACACACAAAACTTCACTCATCTCAAACCTTTCGTTATTAGATTATGATTGAGCCAATGATTAAAAGTGTTATTATTATATTAAATGAGGAATAAGAGCTTATTCTTCTCACTCAATCAATGACTGAGTTCTGTAGTAGCAAAATCAATTTCTGTTCATCATCTTAGTCGCCAAATAGGTTCAGAATGAATAAAATGGAAATGAATACAACATAATCTTAATTTATAGATAAAATTGAATTAAATAGACCAAACGATCCTCTTTTAGACTTTTGAGATGACGTTTTTTTATCCTGCCCTTATCATCGCATGCTTCTGTTAAAGTACATCCATTGCTCAGTAGCAAAACAGAACCTTCTTTCGTGGTTTCCATTAAATTCTGCTTGCGATTAGAGATGTATAAATATATTATTATTATTATTATTATTATCCTTTTAAGCTTACCCCTTTCCGTTTTTTCCATTTTACTGATGACT